AGAAATCAGCTTGGTGTTTGGGGAAGATCACAGGCTCTAGGATTACCATTCCAGTCCTGGCTCTGTCATTATCTGTGTGACACTGGCTCATTAACCTTTCTGGGTCTCAACTCACCCCCCGAAAAGCAGAGCCGCTAATAGCCACCTACTTCACCGTGTTGATATGTGTGAGAGATTGTGAATTACTCCCAGCCGCTGGCCCTGTCTCATTCATGCTAGCACAGTATTTCTAGTTGGTCACATTTCACCACTTCCTGCCAGGGGAGAGAAGAAAGGGAATTAGCCTTTAGCATTTAGTGTGTGTGTCTGACCCAGCGCTGGTCACTCAACCGGATTTGGCGGAACACTGTGCATTTCAAATGAGCATGGTAGATTTGATGGTGCTCCCTGAAGTTCCGACATCATTCTTGTAGAAGTCATTTTCTTCCTGTTGGAAGACTTTCATCCCGGATATAGAGAATTCCAAACATTCCAACTATCCAAGGCCATACAGTGTGCTGAGGGGGACGCCTCCGTCCAGAGACCTGAGTTGGGGGCGGTGGCGCTGCAGGATGAACAGGAAACATGAGTCTCCCTCTCTGCCAGACTCTCCGCTTCTCTCCTCAGCACAAGGTTGTTCCACAGGAGTCCAGGGCCTCTGAAGTGGTCCAACCAGAAAGGGAGGAAACACCCTGAAGCTGTAGTGCGGATACCTCTGCCCCTCCCCAACCCTACAGGCAGGGCTGGCCACACCGTGGGAACTGCCCCACTTGCCAGTGTCTGTTGGAGCCTCCCTGGGGAGGGGACCCCGACGAGGGTCAACCAAAGCCCTGAAGCCTGGATCCCCATGGGCTGAGTCAGCAGAGAAGGGATCCCAGGACTGGAGAGGAAAAGGGGGTGGGGAGGGGGAAGAGGTATTTAGTTATCAGGTGTCTCCCCAGGATCCAGACCCAGCTTCCCCGGGGCGGGGGGGGGGGGGCGGGGGGGGGGGGGAGAAGCCCAGAGATGAGACCCTTGTCATGGGGTGAGCTGATGCAAAGAGACAGCCCCCATAGCTGGGCGCAGGGAAGAGTAGAGAGCAAAGAAGCCCCACACGAGAGACAAGTCCAGTAGAAGAGAAGGGGTTGCTGGTTCCAGGGAAATGTACAGGGCAGGGAATGGGGGAAGATGGATTTATCCCACTATGTGGGTCCCCATCCCGCACATACTGAGCTATTGTGAGATCTTTTCCTGCTTCACCTGGGCAGCCAGATTCTTCTCCTCCCCAGTCCAAAGCTGCATCCTCAGCCAGTCGGAGCCACAGACGCTCAAGGCCTTTTCCCTTCCCCTTCAACAAATACTTGTGCAGTTTCTACCACGTGCCTGGTGCCAGGGCTAGAGACCATTACTCCTTCCCTCCAGCGGCTTCCAGTCTGGAGGAGAGCCACGTGTAGGGGAAGAGGACAGTGTTAAAGACAAATACCGAGTTAGGAGTGCAGTAGGAGAGAGTAGTAACGAGACGCCCAGGGAGTACACCAAATAAATAAAACAGGCCAAAGAGGCTGCAGCTCCTCTCGAGATCTCAGGGTTTGTGGGTTTCCACAGGGGACATCTGACACCAAACATTCCAGGACACCCAAAGTGGTGGGAGAGGGGGTGGTGGATGGCACTGAATTGGCGGAGGCGCTTAGACGGACTGTGAAGAGGCTGAGAGGAAAGGCCCGTGCAGTGGGGTAATCGGGGGAAAGGAGAAAGAGGAGAGGATCGGCTGGGAAGGGAAGGGTGGTGGTCGAAGGGGTGCAGTACTTGGAGGGCGCAGACACCGGAGGTCGGGGCGGAAGGCGGGCGCACCGCCGACACCGGGAGCCCTGGCAAGTGGTCGGAGGCGGCGGGCGGCGGAGGGGGTGGAGAGCGGCCCCTACACGTGCGCTACGTGCTGCGCGGGCCGCCGCCCCCTCCCTGGCTGCTGGGGAGTCGGGCCTGCCCCTCATCCCGGAGCCCAGTCCCCCGGCAATGCGCGGGGGACTGGCGGCGGGGGGGGGGTGTTGGGGGAGGGAGAAAGTCGCTCCCCCAGTCTGCAACCCTGGAGCGCGGTCGTCCCATAGAGACGACCGGAAGGAACGCGGGGAGAGCCTCATCACCAGGCGGGCGGATCTAGGGGCGAAGGCTGCAGATCTGGGGCGCAGGCCGGGGGGCGGGGTAGGATCGCGCAGGTTCGGGGAGTGAGGCCTGGGGACCGAGGGAGCCGGCTGAGGATGGAGACCCTTAGGAATGTGTCCAAAGGACCTGGGGCTGCACGAATAGGGGTGGTTTGGGGGACGGAGGCCCGGGTGGGGCGGAGTGTTGTCCAAGAGTAAGGAGGGGGTTCCTGGAGACGTGGCACTCCGAGCGGGGCTTGGTTCCGCTTCGGCCGCCCGGGCTCCAACCCCGCTCTCCCCCGGGAAGCCACACCGGACCCCGCCCAGGCCTCGTACCCAGGTCTCTGGGAGCTCCAGCCCAGGGACCTTCGGGCCGGGGTTGCCCAGGTCCGGCCTCTGGGGCGTCCGGCCAGCCCCAGACGAGACAATGCGGCCCGGGCCCCGCCCCCGGAGGCTGATGCGGCCCCGGCCGCGGCCAATCACCGCCTGTGGCTAGGCTCTTTAAAAAAAGAAGAGCCGGCCGCGGTGTGGCTGTCAGCTGGGGAGGGATCCCTCCGCCCATGTAAACACACATCATAAAGGGCAAGGGAAGCGTCTTCTGCGGGGCGGGGGGGAGTTGTCGCCTTCCCGGAGAGCCCTCTGGGTCCCTAGGTTCCCCTCACTACCCTGGCAACCGCCCCCTCCCTCAACGTCACATCGGGTCCGTGGGGAGCCAAACAGCTGCTGCCAGATCTGGGAGCAACAGAATCTCATCACTTAGGGTCACTACCGGAAATGGAGAGAGCTTGGGAGTTGGGCGCGTGAGGGAGTCCTAGTACACGGCCGAGGATTGGGAAAGCTTTTCCTAGGCTGGTTCTTCCAATGCACCTCAGTTAAGTGTTAGTCATTACTGATATATGTCTAGAATTTTTCCCAAAGTTACACCTATCCGGGTTGAAGAATGCCAGTGTTAAGCGTGAAAATAGTCTTAACGCTCTCCCAGGAAAGAGCACATGACAGGAAATCAACTGCAGCAAGACCCTCAAAGGCATATACACCCACGGCAAAGAGCAACAATGATTTTTCTCCCCCAACATTTTATTATGAAAAATTTTCAAATATTCAGCAAAGTTAAAAGAATTCTGCAGCAAATTCCTCTAGACCCACCGTTTAGGTTTACCATTAACATTTTATTATAACTTACTATATCTCGTATCTATCTTACAGTGACGACTTTTTCTCCAGTAGGATGCCGGCTGCCCCTTGGCTTAAGTCTCTGTTGCAACGGGGAGACAAACAGGCTCTCCTAGGTTCGAAACCCTAGAGAGCTAAGAAAAGCAGTACCTTCTGTAAGGACTTTTTGAACTCTTTTGGGGCCAAGTACCTCTGGGAAGAGTTTATTGAAGAGGAAGCTTCTCCCCTCCCCTCTTTTTAAATTGAAGATTCCTTGAGGATAAGAGAGACTTCTTTCCTCTAGGTGAATCTGAAAGCAGAGCTAGGACTAATGTTGACCCAAACAGTACTTTCATGGGTTTGGCTGCTTTTTGGGTAAGAGAGATATTTTTGGTGTTGAGGTCCTACTTGTTGAATTTCCTCTCTCCCCTTTTCTGGGCAGGACACTAGGCACTCATCCTGCCCCCCCCCCCATCCCAAAAGTGTTCATATCTCTCAAAGTTACTTAACCTCTCTGTGCCTCCATTGCTTCCTCTGCAAAATGAACATAATAGCAGTACCTACTCAACAGGATGGTAGATTCAATGAGCACAACAGTGCTTTACACACAGTAAGCATTAGATAAATAATGGCTATCACTCATATGCCAAAAGCTCCAGATTTACATCTCCACTTTTGATCTCTCCTCTTCAGATTTATACTATTCAGCCTGTTAAATATTTCCAACTGTACCAAAGAAACCTCAAACTCAAGATAATTCAGAACGTATCCAGAAGCGAACACATTATCTCCCTCCTCATACTGATTTCTCATGTATATAATCTAGAGGAATTTCGCAGCAATGCCAATGGGCCAAGCAACCATTCAGGCACGTACCTTAGACGCCTGAATCATCCTCCATACCTTACTGTTCCTCCCCAGTTTATCACTGAGTCCTAATTTTATCTCCTACATTTGCATCCCTTCTTCCTAATGAATAGTACCACTGCCTTAATTTAGGCACCATCGTTTCTCATCTAGATTATTTTTAAAGTCTTTTGCTTCACTCACAACCACCTCGTTCTTATATTGCTCAAGGATCACTTTTCCCTGCAACACCCCTCTTTCCAAAAGATAGTCTCTTATCACTTGTTAGCTGTATGAATTTGGGCAAACTGCTTTTAACCTGTGCCTCACTTTCCATTTGTAAAATGGAAATAAGAGTATCAGCCTCAGAGGGTTGTTGTGTAGATTAAATGATTAATCATGCAAAGCACTTAGAACAGTGCCCAGGATATGCAAGTCCTCAAGTGTTGGCTTATTATTAACATTGTAACTATTGTTTTCTCACCTCCATTTTGTTCTTACTCTCAAACCGTTCCCCCTACCTAGAAAATCCTTCTCCATTATGCCAAATACCTTCTGCCCCTCCCCAGGTTTTACTAAGTGTATGTACTTCTACCATGGCACCCACCACAGTGTACTGACATGATTGAAATAGTCCATTCATGTGTCTGATCTTCTCCACCAGAGTATTAACTTCTTGAGGGAAGGGACTCTGGCACGTAGTAAATGGTCAATAAATATTGGCTCAACTGGACCGCAAGGATCAACTCCATCCTCAGGCTGAAGGCCCCGGCCCCGCCCGATTCGGGGGCGGGGCCGAGAGCTCGGCGCGGGGGGTGAGTGGGGGTGGGGGTGGGACTCTTTTTCCTCGCCGTGGCGGCGGAGGCGCACGGCGTGGGTTAGCGGCAAGACGTCGTCGGAGGAAGGCTGAAAAAGCCCAAGGTGCTGCCGTTGCTAGTACAAGTCGGACCTGCTGTCGCCGGAGCCGCGTCTGCACACGTCTCGGACCCAGCGCAGCCCGCCGCCGCGGTCCCGGAGCCCACCCCGTCCTCGCCCGTCCCCGACCCGCGGTGATGGAGCCGGCCACCGCGCTGCCCCCGGGCCCGCGCCCGGCGCTGCCCCTCGGGGGCCCGGGCCCCCTGGGCGAGTTCCTGCCTCCCCCCGAGTGCCCGGTCTTTGAGCCCAGCTGGGAAGAGTTCGCGGACCCCTTCGCTTTCATCCACAAGATCCGGCCCATAGCCGAGCAGACTGGGATCTGTAAGGTGCGGCCGCCGCCGGTGAGTCACGCCGGCACCCCGGATCCTGCTCGCGGCTGGGGGAGGGAGAGAGGACTCGCGGGTTGGGGAGGCCCGAAGCACGGGGGGCGGGGAGCGGGGTCGCCCCGGAGGCCGCGTCAAGTTTGGGGCTGCCCCAGGGTGGGAGTTGAGGCCGGGGGAGGAGGCCGGGGCTTCTCCAGGGTGGGAGATGAGCGTGGGAGAGCGGGCGCTTCGGTGGTGCCACCCCGAGGGCCCGGGCGACGCGCGGCCTGGGCGGACCGGTGTGCGGCCCGGCCCGGGGTTCGGGTTCGGTTCCGGATGGAGTGGCGGCCGGGGTGGGCGCGGGGGTGCTTCCTGCCGGAGGCCGGCGGCGTCGCGGGCGAGGAGGGCGGGCGCCGGGCTCGGCGCGGCTCCGCGGGCTGGGGCTCGCCTCCTCCCCCGGGGTGCGGGGGTGTGTGCTGGGTGGGGGTGGGGGACTTGCGAGTTGTCGTGCGCGGAGGAAAGTTTTCAATATGGCGGCGGGAGCCCCTGGTCCTTTGTGTGGTGGCGGCGTCGGCCCGGAGCGGCCCTCACCTGGGCGCCCCACCCTGCAGGCGGGGGCACCCCCCTGCCCCCCGGGCCCCGGGCCTCCTGCTGTCTCCCGGGCCGGGCTCGAGCAGGGGGCGTCCAGCGCGGCCGGGGGGCGGGGAGGAGCCGCGGGGCCGGCCCCGGAGCCGAGGTGGTGTTGTGGGGGGCGTAAGTGTGTGGGGGGCGCTTGGGGGCGGTGGGGGGGCAGGACCGGCTGTGGAGGGCCCGGTGCCCGCCCGCGCGCCCCGCCGCGCGCACACCCGACTTTGGGCCCGGCCGCTCGGCTCCCCGGGGAGGTCTGGGCTGTGTTGGTGGGGTGGGGGCGAGGCCGTGCAGTAGGGGGACTTGTCAGACTGGAAGACCTCCGAAGGCTTCACGCGCACTTCCCGCGCCCCCCAACCCGCGGAGGCTGAAATGCAGCCCCACTTCAGCCCTCCGAGCCGTGTGTAAAAGCGCCTCGGGCCTGGGGGCTGCGTGTGTGTGTGTGTGAGGGGTGGGGTGTTGCTGAAGTCATCCCTAACGGCTCCAACGTTCGCTGAGCAGAGCCCGGCCAGCCCTTCCCTCTCCCCCCCCCCCCCACCCGGAACTGGGTGCGCGCCTACACCCCTGTTTTTTTGCCCACCTTGCGGATGGTCCGCGTCCGAGTTGGCCTAAAGGACGGTTGGACGCGCTGGGACCGTTGGGAAGGACGTTTAACTGCTTTTCCTACAGTTTAAGAATCTTCTCCCCACTGTCCTCCTCGCCCCCCACCCCACCCCCACTCCCACTCCCGTTGGAGGAAGATTCCCCCCCCCCCCCCAAATCCCTTTCTTTCTTAAGCTTGCTCTTTTGTAATGACATTTGGAGTTGCAGGGGTTCTGTGTGTAATCATTCTGGTTTGGAAAAGAGTTTTGAGGGAGATCTCTCTATATGTCTTTTTTTCTCCGGTCTCCCATCTCCTTCCCCCCCAAAATTAAAACACAGGCACCACACTTTGGTTTTTCTTGGACAAGTTTGAAGATGGAGATGAAACCTATGCTTCAGAAAATAACTGGTCAGCTAGTATGGGGGAAATGTTTGAAAATAGAATCATTTCTTTCAAAAAGTGGATACGGTTGCTTCTTGTTGCTTAAGGGAAGTACATTTCTTCTAGAGTGCAAAGAGGCCTGCAAAAGTTGTAGCCGGAGCTTATTAGAGCTAAGGTTTTAATTCTTGGAAGAATAGATCATGTTTCAAACATTTAGCAGTTTAGTTTTATGTCAAATGCTAGGAAGGGTGAATGTGAGTATTGTTCATTTGCATAAATGAGATTTTATTCCGAAATTAGGCAACTTGATTAAGTTCTTGGTAATCAAAATGTGTGGAGTCGGGTTCCTGGGAGTGAGAGTTGTCCTCCATGTTGGTATTGTGGTATATACTAGGGCTGGGGTAAACCCTTTATTATTCTGTGCCTTTTATAGGGCCCTTTCCCAGAAAGATAGTGTTGGCTCTGGTTAGGTTTGGCTACCCATTTCTTCCTCTTGGCTAGGATATTAATGGTAAGTGTTGCAAAATGTGTGAGCATATTGCCTTTTCCCATTCTGAATGCCAGACAGACATGATGGCCACCATTTTGTATTGAGAGAGTAGTACATTCTACAGCCTGAGAAAGGGTGTTAAAGAGGATAATCTACAAACATAACCAATGCTCTGTTTTGGAGACCTTCTTTGTGTGAGGGGGGCTTTCTTCGTCCTTTGTTTAACAAACTCCTGTGCCAAATGGAAAGAGTTTGTTGTTGATATAACCACAAAAAGGGAAATCTTTCCAGAAGTTGTAGCTCTTGAAGAAGGGTCTTGTTGGAACAAAGGTATCTTAAGGGATGTAAACAGTCTTTGTTTTAGAAACTGTTCTGTTTTAGAAGCTGTGAACAAGTGGTTTCATATAGTTGAAATAAAGCAACAAAAAACCCAAGAGGTATGAAATATTGTCCAGAGTATAGCTATATAATGCCTGTGTTTCTAGATGATTTTTGTTCTCTAATTTTTTGGAATACAAGTGGCTGTATTAAAATAGAGATTGGGTCTGTTGGTATTTGTCGTTGGGAGATTAGGGGAAGAATTATAAAGCATTTCTATTTCCTTTTGTATCTTTAATTAATGTTACTTACATAGTTTCAGTTTATAGCTGCTTTCTGTGAGGATCCTAAACTGTTTTGCTTCTGAAAACTTGGGGTTCACAGAAATTTGTGAAATTATAGTGAGGTAAATGTGATAAAAGGTAATAAATTAAGAAAACTGTTAAATCCTGAGTTTTAAAGAGGGAAAGAAATCTTTTTCAAATTATATCAAGTATGTAGGATAACCAGGCTTATTTCCTGGGATTTAAATTTTTTTAAATTTACAATTAATCTGACTTCTGGTTTTGCTACATTTAAAATGCACATTTTCATTTCCTTCTTGATGTACTTAGATGTCTTTGTAAGGACACATTTTCCATGTTGCTTTGTGGTATTTGGAAGTGATTAATTTTAGGAGTGTAATTATTAGGCAAAAAATAGTTGGCTGCTCAGTGAATACTTTTTTGAGTCTCCCAAGTTTGATTGGAATATATTTGATGGCTTTTATAACTTTTTTTGTTGCCCTCAGATGTCTAACATTTGGCCATAGATAGGCAGATTCCACATATTTCTTTGGCAGTGTCCAAAAATCAGGGATTTAAATCAAACCCCAGATGGCACAATGGACACATTTTTTCAACTTTAACTTCCTGTGGGTCATTAGTTTGATTCCTTCATCTTTATAGGCAAAGTGTAAAACTTCCAAGTGTTTTAATACAGTCAGCATCTTTGAGTGAGCCTGCTGGTTCTACCATTAGGAACAGGGAGGAACTTAAATACACATTTCTTTGTATGGTTAGAGGTGTTAATGATATGGAGCTCATTTACTCTCATTCCAGCCTATCAATCTCCCTAATTTTAGGTTTGATTGACTTTGGCCTAACCCTCTCTGTTGTTTTCGCAGTTCCTTTGGTGTCTCGGAATTTTTCTCTGGTTGTGATTCTTTAGCCACCTTAGACCCCTTACCATTTGGAGAAAAGGCTTATTAATAGAAATGTCCTTGAGTGAAAGAAGAACTTATAATTACTTTAAAAAAAATAACAGCTTTATTGAGATATAATTCATATACCATATAATTCATCAATTTAAAATGTTATGCATAGTAGTTTTAAGTAGTTTCAGAGCTGTAAAACCATCACCACAATCAATGTTAGAACATTTTCATCACTCCCAAAAGAAACCCTGTACCCACTTTTAAGACAAATTTAGGACTATACTGGTCGGAAGAAAAACTTTTTTTTCCTCATCTAGTAGGAGCCTGGATTAAGTCCTACAGTTACAGTTTGAAAGTGTCTGCCTTAAACAACATAAAAACAAACTTCATTTGTTACTAGTTCTTGAATGGGTGTTTAGCTGAATTTAACTTTGCCAGTGGTAAATTATAAATTGGTCACATGGGGAGCCGAACCTATCCACCTAGTTGTAACTTCTAGTGAACTAATCAACAAAATTAATAGGCTTTTAGAATAGAATGTGAGTGATATTATAAATACATGAGGCAGCTCAGCTTAAGATTCATACCCCCACTGGAAAAATTTCCCTACCAGTGATTATAGGATTTGTTTTTAAACATGCAACCTAAACCTCTTTAAAGAGTAAAATGAATTGAGAATTGCCTTTGAAAAGTGTTAATGTTGTGTTAAAGCTGGGATTTGAATTCTTTCATTATTGAGATATACTGATAAGAAAAAATTAGGGAAAATTTATTAGTCCTCAGTTTCAGTCTTTGTCTCTAAGGTACTTAATTTTCTTTATAATGTGTTGGCCTAAATTTAAGAGTATTTATGTTTGATAGATCAGCAGAACTTATTTGCTTAATTTGGGGAACAACAAAGTTCAGGATGTTTAGGAGACTTTAATATGCAGATAGAAATCTTCCAGTGAGAGAATATTCTTTTAGAAAGGAAAAAAATATCATTATAAACTGTTGGATTAAAAAAAAAATTTGAATCTGGTGTATGTGCTGTAAGTGGGTATTGTTCTAGACTTTTGTAACTTCTTGTCTTAATTGGACCACATTAAAGTTTGGCTATAGAAAAGGATAAAGAGAGAACTCATCCCCCCCCCCCCCAAGTGAAAGTGCTAATTAGGTTCCTGAATTTAGGTTCCAGGAAGCCTACTTGTGTACCTCTTTCCAAAGGCCGTATATAAGTTTAAAAAACCAGGAACCCAGAATATCCTTGCTTTACTCATTGTACAGACCTTTCAGCTTGATTTGTGTTGAGTTAGTGGTGATTTTTCCTTTCTGAGAGAATTAGATATTCTCTGGAGATTATGCTAATACACCTGTTTTAAGTGCAGAACAATCTCAAAAAAACTTTTTTTTTTTTTTGCCAACCTCAAAAAAAAATTAAGTGGAATAAATGTTGGGAATTAAAG